CAAGGAAAATTTCATTATTTTTTTTATTATTTAGTTTTTCCAGTGTGCTTACATTTTCCCGTTTGGTGGGAGTGAGGGTGAGCAGAAGTTTTATTGCTTCTAAACCAGCCAAATAGTATATGCATGGAATGATGACAACGTACAATAACATAATATTAAGGGATAGATTTTGAATAATAAACGCTTTTTGTGTGTAATTTCTTAAAATTATCAATTAAATATTAAAATACGATAAAACTGCTGACTCAGCCTTTTATATATTAAGCCTTTGCTAATTTTTTTAAGTGAGGAAAGGCTTTGCACGAAACCAATCCCCACTCGCTGGGCGACTCCCTCCATTGACCCCCACCCAAAAAAAAAGAAGAACAAGTCTACATCATTGGGTGCAACAAACACCGCAGTGTTATATCAGAGTTTTCCTGGTGATTTTACGGCGCCCTCAGATACCAACCTAAAAATTTCTACATCCCATAATTTATACACACACACACACATATATATATAAATATTTTTTTTAAGCATTACGCCCCAAGCAAGGCGTGAAGCCACTAGGATGCATGGGGTTGCGGATGATTTGGAGCGAGAGCAGATAGGAGTGATAGAAGAAAGGATGAGGAGAAGGATAGTGGGTAGATCAAGGTAACTAGAGATGTCGATTGACATTACATTTGAATAGTTGGAGATTATAGCCTTCAGGGAAGCAGTAACTGGGAAGGGTGTTCCACTGGCGAGAGGTGCGAGGTATGAAGCTATTGGAGTAGAAGAGACGGTTACATTTGAGAGTTTCTACGGTGTAAGGGTGGGAGCGGGATGCCAGCCTCGTAGGGCGCTTGAATTCATGGAGTCTGGGAACCAGTGAAAGCAGCTCGTCAGAGCAGTTACTATGGAAGTATTTTGTAGAAAAAAGAGAGAGAGAGGCGACGGCGCGTCTGTGAGAGAGTGACTGCAGACGAGACGCCAGATCAGGGCCAATTAGATTACATATCCGTCTCTGGATCTTGTCAAGAACTCCGAGGTAAGCAGAAGGTGCCCCAGCCCATATATGGCAGCAATACTCCATGCAAGGGCGAATGGTTGTTTTGTATATTTGAAGTATAGATTCAGGGGAGAAAAATTTCCTGGCGCGGCACAGAGAGCCAACTTTCCTCGCGGTGGAAGAAGCAATTGACTCAATGTATTTGTTCCATCTCAGGTCAGCAGTCAGCGTGAGACCGAGCAGACGCAGGGAATTGCTCTCAGGAAGTTGGCTGTCAGACATTATAATGGGGGGCAGGGAAGGATCTCTATGGTGGTTAATGGAGAGTAATTTAGTCTTGGTGACGTTAAAGTTGACCAGCCAATTCTTGCCCCAGTTAACAACTGATTGGAGGTCCATTTCGAGACGCACGGCCAGGTTAGTTTTGTCGCCGATACTAGATTTGTTTTGGAGGCAGGAGTAAATTGTGGTGTCGTCAGCATAGATGCCAACTTGGGAATCTATAGCGTCGGGAAGGTCATTGATGAAAATAAGGAAAAGAGTGGGGCCAAGGATGGAGCCTTGGGGGACACCTGCGTTCGTGGGATAGGAACTGGAGGAGAATCCGTTGAGAACGACCTTCAATTCTCGGTTTGACAGGAATGATTGTATTAGATCAAACAGATGACCAGTAACACCATACCCCTGGAGCTTACGAAGAAGGCCGGCGTGCCAAACCCTATCGAATGCTTTGGAGATGTCGAGGGCCACGGCACGAGCCTCTCCGTTATTTTGAAGGGCTTGGTAGACGGTTTCAGTGATGGACGTAAGCACATCAGCTGTGGATCGGGCGTAGCGGAAACCATATTGCTTGTCTGAGAGCAGATTATGAGATGTAAGGTGATTAATTACTTCGGCATTGATTAGGGCTTCGAAGACTTTGCCGAAGAGGGGTAGGAGACTAATAGGACGGTAATTAGAGGGGTCCGAGGGGTCTCCAGAGTTCTTAAACACAGGAACAATGGATGAGGACTTCCAGCAGTCAGGAAAACAGGATTCCTTGAGGCAGTAATTATACAGTTTAGAGAGGGCGGGTGCTAGCTCAGGCGCGCATTTCTTCAGGACAACGGCTGGTATGCCATCTCCACCACTAGCCTTGTGGGGGTCTAAGTTAGAGATAATGCCCAGTACCACGGACGGGGTTATGTAAAGCCGCTCAGTAAGGCCTCCGTTCTAGGAGGGAAGTCTGGAATGGGTACACCGGTGGAGTTGAGCGTTGAATTAAATGAGAATTTCCGAGCAAAGCATTCAGCCTTGTCGGTAGAGGAGGTCAAGACCTCGAACTGGTTGAATAAAGGAGGTATGGAGGGTTTTCTATTGTTCAGGACACTCTTGCAGCCCCGCCAATTATATTTGGAGCCAAATTTGCGAGATGCAATACGCTCCTTCATCCGAGCAGCAAATATTGACTTAGCTTCGTTGAGGACACGCTTACACTCGTTACGGGCAGAGGCAAAGAGACGTCTATTACAGTCCGACATGTCGCTACGAAATCGATGAAAAAGTGATTCCTATGGACAATGGCAGCTGCACTGCAGCGGGGAACCAAGGGAGGAGTGCGACTTGACCTTAAATTTCCTTGAGGGATGAAAGCGTCAATTCAGCTTTAACCCAGGATGAGACCTCAAGCACATTCTTGGACGGGAGTGTAAAGACAACATCCCAGGGGACATCGCGGAGGAAGTCACGGAACGAGTCCCAATCCGCTCGTTGATAGTAGAACGAGGTTCTTGTGATGGGAGGTTCTTTGCAGGGTGTGGAGTTGAAGGAAATGTTGACAGATACCACGGCGTGGTCGGGTTGCCAAGCGGGCAGATCTGCGTGGCGCTACAAAGATTCAGGGATGGAGGTAAAACACAGATCGAGAAGAGGCCTTACCTGCCAGGTCGAGAGCAAAACGCGTGGGTAAGTCGACTATCTGCGTGAGGGATTGAGAAATTGAAGTTAAATGTTTGAATGCCAGCTCGGTCAGTAGTAGCATTCTCGAGCCACTTGGTGTGATGGGCGTTAAAGTCGCAAACACGAATATATGAGCAAACGGGTAGAGGGAGAGGGCCTTGTCTATGTTGTCAGATATGCTATCGAGTATCCCACAGTCTTGAGAGGATGGGGAGCGATAGAGGAAGAAGAGATAGCTTACGGCATTGAGGAGAGATAGTCGGAGACACATGTATGTATAATAAAATGGATAATTTTAGATAATTTCTCGAATAAGCGTTCGTATACAAATATATATATATATATATATATATATATACCATCGCTTATTCTAGCAATTATCTAAAATTATCTATTTTATTATACATATATATATGTATATATATACACACACAGACGTATATATACCCTATAGTGTAAGAAAAAACAGTGCTCAGTGTTAAATAACAGAGCTAAACTGTTTTCACTTTCATTAATTTTATTTTTATTTATTTTCATTATGTCGTATTTTTATAAGTATCTTTATTTATTAGTATATTTTATTAATATTATTAATTTTATTAATATTAATTTTATTACTACTATCAATTTTATTAAATTTATTATTGATTTTCATACAAGAATACAATTACCTCCCTTGATTTCCAAACATTTTTTTTTCGTGAGAGCGTCCGTTTTTTAAATTAAATTTTATAATTCTTATTTTTTAATCTTATTTTCAACCTTAAATGATAATCTGGGCCTAAATTCAAATCCAAAATCAAACTACAGTTCATTTAAACATCAAGCAACAATAGTCAACGCTCACAATAAAATATCAAGCGATAACCAGAAGTATATAACAAAGAGATTAAACCCAAAAATAGCACCTGAAGATTGCAAATGGCATAAAACTCTGAGTTGTGTAATCAACATAGGTTGTTCTCTCTCTTTCTTTCTTTCTCTCTCTCTCTCTCTTCATATATATATATATATATATATATATATATATATATATATTAAGATATTAAATTAAAAACATGTTAAAAAATCGCTACAACTGCATATATATATATATATATATATATATATATATATATATACTTTTTTTTACAATTTAAGATACCTTTTTAATTAATTACCTTTTTAGTTAATTGGAACTAAGATACCTTTAGTTAATTTAATTACCTTTACTAGAAGAAGAAACAAAAAAAAATCCTGCGAACTTTAAAATTAAAATTCATAGGTGAAAATGGTCATTAACAAGAGGTATCTTAATTCCAGTAAAAAGAAAAATTTTACTCTGTTTTGAGCGCTCTTTTAGTTAGTTTTAACATATTTCAAATTCTATGATTATAGGTTTCGCCTGGACACACCAGACACTACAAACTGAAAATATTAAACCAGTAGGAAGACAATATTCAACAGTTTGAAAAATCCATTAAATTTGCATCAGGCTCTCATAACTTTAAAATTTTTAAAATTTAATAACAAAGATGATGGAAGTAAAAAAAAAAGAATGAAAAATGGTCTGATTATAGACACAAAATGAATATAAAAACATATTTTAAAAATTTAAAATTTCAGCATCTCTCATTCGTGCAAATGTAAACAAACCCGTCCTTTCTGAGTTAGCTTTTCCATTTTTTTCCGGAACAATATATTTTTGGATTTTGTTAAAAATTAGCAAAATTCTATGTTTTGATATATATAGGTTTCGCCTGGAAGAAGAAGAAAACAAACCAATCCCAAATTAAAAACTGTTTCCGCCAAAAAAGTAATAGTTAGAATGAGGGAGGACAGAAGAAGAAGAAGAAAACCAATCCCAAATTAAAAAACACAGTTAGAATATATATATATATATATATATATATATATATATAATAAATACAATATAATTTGACCCAAATAAATAAACAATATATCTGAAAATTTCTAAATTAAACCAGAAACCAGTAGAAGACAATATTCATAATAAACACACACACACACACACATATATATATATATATATATATATATATATATATATA